GAGTGCCGTAGAAGGTGGGAATGAAGAAGATTAGAAGAGGGTGGAAGAAGAAGAGGGGGGAGAAAGGTTAGTGGTTTTGGCTGAAGGGGAAAAGAAGAGCATTGTTGGGGAAAACATTTTAAGTCTAGAATGTAGTGAGAATGATAAGGAGAGGTAAGAAATGGAATTGATGGGGATGGAGAAGAAAAGGAGAAGGTTGGGGCCTTCAGGGAGAGGTCTTTGAAGCATTTAATGACCCAGAGACTGAGAGGAGAACTGAATTATCACCAACCTCTAAGAAATTTGTTTCAGTTTCCTTGCCCATCCCCTTCTTAAGCATTGGAAAATTTTCTTCCAGTTCCCTAAAAGTTTTCCTTGCAAATTCCTCACCCCATACAAATCGAAGACCCACAATCTTACTCGCCTCCACCTCTTTGTTCACCACCAATTCCAAATCAATTGAGCTACTAACTTCATAAATTTCATCCTCACTTGATTCCATTCCTTCATCTCTTTCATTTTCTGCATCCTTATCTTAATAAATGGCTATATTTCCTTCCCCTTTTGTAAACTTTTGACAAGAAATTCCATCTCCTTCTCTCTTTTCATTCCCTCCCCCCACCTTAGGGGCCTTTAGGGAAAGGTCTCTGAAGCATTTAACCTAGAGGCTGAGAAGAGAACTGAATTTGGTACTGACTGCATAGGGGATCTTGAGAAAGAAGTTGATGCTAAGAAGGGAGGTGGGGGTAGGGAGTGAAAAGAGAGATGGAACTTCTTTGTCAAAAGTTTACAAAAGGGGAAGGAAATATAGCTAGTTATCAAGATCAGGATGCAAGAAATCAAAGTGATGAAGGAATGGAATCAAGTGAGGATGAAGTTTATGAAGTTGGTAGCTCAATTGATTTGGGGTTGGTGGTGAACAAAGAGGTGGAGGTGAGTGCAGTTATGGGTCTTCAATTTGTATGGGGTGAGGAATTTGCAAGGAAAACTTTTAGGGAACTGGAAGAAAATTTTCCAATGCTTAAGAAGGGGATGGGTAAAGAAGCTGAAAGAAATTTCTTAGAGGTTGGTGATAATTCTAGTGGTCTAGAATTGGCTGGAAGCGTTGGGGATGCCATGGGAGATGGTGGGGAGAAGATGCAGGTCAGATTTTTGAGAAGAATGTGGTGTTGGAGCTTGAGTGGATTAACGAGATATCTATAGATCTGGGGAGTGTCAGGAAGGTTCCACTAGCAATAAGGCGAATTTTTTTTTTTGGGTCAATAACTCAGAAAATCGATTTCATTAGAATTAAATAAAGCAGTACAACCAGAAGTTGTGAAGGAAACAAAGAGGACACCAGATGTCCAAACCCCTAAAAATTACAAATAGGCCCAAAACATAGACTGCCTTTGTACCCCTTGTTTAGCCAAACTATCTGTCAAACTGTTGGTTGATCTTCTAACCCAAGTAATTTGAATCAGCATATCCCTGGAGAGCCTTTTGAATCTCCTAAGGCCATTCCTTAGGTGCCAAGAGACTCTTTCCCCTTTCTTTAACCAGTCCACAACCGTTTTGGAGTCATAGTCACCTTCAATTAGGGGTGGCAATTTTTCACCCAACCTGCCCATTTACTTGGTGGATTAGCAATGGGTTTGTTCACCCATTGGGTCAATTTAAATGGGTTGGGTTGTGGATAACCATTGGGTTAACCACTAAAGATATAAGTATTAACTTCTTAGCCTTTTTTTTAATTTTCTTCATTTGAATGAAATAATTTATAATTAATTATTGACTAAAATTAGTTTTGTCTCAAATAACACACTTTACCCAAATCGATATAAATCCAAATTAACTTGACCCGAGTTCGGACCAGCTCAACTTGGTCTAAATATGAACAGACCCGATCACCTTTGTTCAGTTCATTCGAGTCGACTACCCCAACCCGAACCCGAACAAGCGCATACCAGTATGGGTTGACCCGAATATGAAACGGGTTGGACTGGATGTGGTCTGAACCCTAAATCCGCACAACTTGCTTTGTTCGGTTTGGATCGCCCGATCCAGCTCGCATTTGTACAGTTTGACTAGCTCGACCCGATTTACTTATCTTGACCCGCTTTGGACCAGTCGGTTCGGTCCCAAACCCATGCACAAACTTGGAATGAGCCAGTCCAAGTCAATTCGTCATTGATTGAACCGGTCCGGTCTGGTCTGCCTGGACTGATCCAGATCTAAACGGTTCAATCACTCTTGATGTGATTAGCTCAAAGACAACCCAATTAAATAGTTCAAGTTGGTCTAACCGGTTTGAACCTAAGTGGTTCGGTCAAATCCAAAACCTGAACATAGTCAAATGGCTTTGCTGCTTGTGTAAAAATAACATGCATGTAATGTGATTTGAACCTTCACCACTTGTGTAAATAGCAATTACTATTACCACCAAGCTATGACCAACTTAATTGTCAAGACGGAGTTAGTTTTTAGTTTTAAGTACATAAATATAAGATTAATGGGTTTGGGCGGGTTGGATTGGGTTAAAGCAGGTTTGGGTTGAACCCAACCCATTTAATTTTATATAACTGGGTCATTAATGGGTTGGCGGGTTAGATGGGTTGGGTTGAAGCTCAACCCAAACCAAACCCAACCCAACCCGCCCAATTGCCACTGATACCTTCAATAATTAGCCTTTCTAGGCCTGATTCCTTTGCTTTCTCAAGCCCAAATACAACAGCTAAGAATTCTGTAGATGCCACATTGCTATGCCCAGCTGGACCCGAGAATAAGGCACAAATGTTGCCTTCCTCAACCCTGATAGCTCCTCCAATACTTGCAGGGCATGGATTGCCCACACTGCTCTATCAAAGTTTAATTCGAACCAGCCACAAGGCGGAGGAGACCAGATCACTGTTTCAACTTGTCTTCTAGAAGATGAAGCAACTATAATCCCCCAAGCTATGAAGAAATCATCAATCTGAAAATCCGAGAACAAGCTCAAGGTCTTAATTCAATGAGCCACTCGAAGGGTTATGGATTCAATCAATGATTCCTTAGTTCTTTCCTTTTCCCCCAAAATTCTAGAGTTTCTTTCCTCCCAGACTGTCCAAACAACTGCTGCCCTTGTACATTTCCACATTAGTCTACCTCTTTTAGTAGCACACCTGCAAACAGAAGGGGAAAACAGCCTTTCCAAGCTAACAGGAGAGAGCCACCTGCAACCAAAAAGTGAGGGAAACCACATCCAGATAAAGCCAACAAATGGACAGGAGATTAAAAGACGAAAAGCAGTCTGACCATTAACCTTGCACAAGCTGCACCAGTTTGGCCTTTTCTTTGAAGCTTATCACAAGTATTAATGCAATCATGAAACACTTCCCAACAGAAAGCACTCACTCTAAGGGGAATGGGAGGATACCAGATTTCCTTCACAGGGAAAGAAGGGGGAGGGGAGGGAGAGGAAACAACAAGGGAATTGAAAAAAGATTTGCAAGTGAATGCCCCAGCTGGGTTAAGGGTCTAAACCCTACTGTCCACGCCCCCATCCCCAAGAACCGCAGAATTCAGCAAGGAAAGCAAAGCAGAAACAAAGGGAACTTCAGACTCTCTTAGGTTCCTAATGAAACCCAAGTTCCAGTTTAGATCAGAAGGAGAGGGAGAGGAACAAAGGAAGTCAGCCACCGACCTGCCTTTAAAGTTCAAACTAGCATAAAGAGAAGGGAACCTCCAATAAAGGGGTTTCCCCAACCCAGATGTCCTCCCAAAACCTAATCTTTAGACCCAAGACCAAGTCATACCTGATGTGATTGAGGAAGACAGGAAGACAGTCATGGATGGATTTCCAGGGAGAAGCCAAGAAAGCTGTATGAAGACAAGATTTAGAAGCCAGAGAAATCAGAGAAAAGATAGAAACATTTTGGTCTTTGAAGTTTTTGCTAAATTAAAATGGGGTTTATTTGGGATTGGGCCAAATAAGAAGATGAAATCAAAGAAAACCTTGAAGTTAGAAGTAGAGATCCATTATATCTAAGTTAATTTTTTTCTTTGGGCTAGATATTTGTTTTTCTGTTCAGCTGGCTTGGTGTTACAATCTGAGTTGTGTTGGGAACCAGGTGGGATTGTTGTGGTAGGGGGGAAGGATACTTTCGGGATCTTCTTTCTCTAGTAAAAAAAGTTGGTTCTTTAGGTTCTGTTGCAGTCTTTCTTTTAGGTGGGTTTTGTCAGGGGTTTCTTCTTTTGGCAACTTCTAGTCACCATCTTTGTATCCCTCTTTTCTTTTTATTTTTAATATTTTTATTTAACTACCAAAAAATATTTCTAGGTACCAATTTGAGTATCTCATTAAAATGGGCACCTTAAAATGCAAACTCTTTGGGAGACTCTTTAGCTAGGATAGGGGTTGCAAGGGATCAATTGGAGTGGGGATGTCCAAGGCTGGGTTGTAGTCTGTAACGTGTCTTTAACTGTGTTTTTGCTCCATGTTTTTTGGTGTTTGTTTTGTATGCTCTAGCCCTACTGTCCATGTTTGTTGGCAGTGTGGAGTTTTTCTTTGATAAAATCTCTGTTATTTATCAAAAAAAAGGAAAACCCAGCCAATCCTATGTCAACCTGAATGAATCATTTTGATTGTATCTTTTAAAAAAGAAAAAGTTCAATCTGGTCCACATGTTTTGATCTGATTAATAGTTGGTACATACATATGGAATATGTAGAGGGTAAACGATTTACTGCTAAAATTACTTTATCTTTTTCCTTCATCTTTATTTTCATTCTTATTATAAATTCAAATTTTAGTACTTTATTATTTCAAGTGGTTGAGTTACATTTACCTGACACGGTACCAATTATTTGGCAAGTTGGGGTGGTATCCCCCATGGCATTGTTTGATCAGTGCCCATGTGTTTTTCAGTATGGGTAATTTGGTACACCTGGACCAAATTTAGTGGCTACTCAAATATTATATTCATTTATTTGGTTAAGGTATTCTATCATCTCTTTTCTTTGCAGCAAGTTTGGTGGTCTTATTTTAGATGCTTAACCTGTAGGAATCACTGAAAAGGAGACTTAATGCAAGAATAGAGTATGCAAAGTTTCTTCAAGACACAGTCAAAGAAATGGCAAAGGAAGTCCAAAACTCGCGAAGTGGAGAAATTAAGAAGACAGCTGAAGATCTTGATGAATTTTTAAGCAAGGTACATTTTATTGCTTTATTGTTTCCCACTTTCCCAGTTTCTCTTCTTGAACTGCATTAATTTTCCTATATAATCATGTGTTGTTGAACCTTGCAACTGGGTGTGTCTGTATGTTCAAATAGGTTAGGACTGGTGGTCGTGTTTCTAATGAGGAAATTTTGGGTTTTGCGAAGTTGTTTAATGATGAGCTTACACTGGACAATATCAGCAGGTTGGTATTATTGGGATTATTGTATTGTTTGAAACTTTGAATTGCAAATTGCCATTTTGAAGCCTCTTTGCTCATTTGACTGTTCACATTGTTTTAGTATCAGTGTCACTTGCATCCATATTATGTTGCTTTCAGGCCCCGCCTAGTAAATATGTGCAAATATATGGGAATCAGCCCTTATGGAACAGACACATACTTACGCTACATGCTTCGTAAGAGACTCCAATGGTAAAATCTATAAGCACATTCTAAGTATTTTAATTCATTTATCTTTATGATTCTCTAATATAATACTTTATGCTACTTTTAGTAGTGGCATAAAGTGTGGACTATAAACCTCAACAGATGGTAATAACCACAACTTGTTGTGTTTGTGGATAGAGGTTCTAGATTTATTGGTTTTATAATTTTCTTTCACCTCATTTATCTAATCTAGTACCTTATGTTTACCTGTTGCAATTATATGGTAAAATCTGAACATTTCTATCCTTTTATTGAACTACTTCTGCTCATTTGGTGGAGGTTTTGGTAATCTATAAAACTTCATTCCTTGAGCTTAGTTGATATAGCCAAGTAAATTTAAGTGGTCATCAATAAAAAATATAAAATAGCGAAAGACACTTGTAGTAGTTATTATCATTGTGGCAATAGAAAATAAAGAGAAACTTATTGTTTGTATAAAAAGTAAAGAGAAACTTCTATTATTTTGCTAATTAACAGACCTCACATTGGAGAGATAAATGAGACAAAATTAAACAGATCAGGTAACAAAACTTTAATAGGTGCACAAGATAAATTGACTAAGTCTGACATGCCAGAGGTCAATCAAAGATGCCTTATGAAAAGGCAAAGTAGGAGGTAGATCCCATTTGCCTTAATCAAAGATGCCTTACAATACTCCTATGAATTTTGTAAAAATGTGAGAAACATTTCTATAGTTTAAGGCTAGTTTTTTGTAATCTAAGTAGCAGACCCTTAAGTTGAGGGTCTTAAATCATAATATCTAGGTGATAAATAAAGGAAATCGTTGCAACCTTTTATCTTATTTCAGTTGGAAACTATTTAGGACAATATAATTACTTTTTTCTCTATCATTAATTTTACCAACTTTCCATTTTGACATATAGAAACTGAAGATATTGGTTTGCTTACCATTCATTCACAGATTACCTTGAATTTGTCTAGATACAGTTTCCTAAAATCCTAATCTACTGGTTCTATTTCAATATATTTCCTTCTGGTTGTTCTTCATATGGATCAATACAGAAAACCAAACAATGTAGAATCTTATTAGTGACAGTTTATGAGAATCATATTTTTTATTATTCTTCGAGATTTAATTATTTTTTGCTTTATCTTTTCTGAGCTATCACTGATAAAGTGAACTTTTTTTGAATTAATTAGGATTAAGAATGATGATAAAATGATTCAAGCAGAAGGTATTGAGTCCCTTTCAGAAGCTGAACTTCGTCAAGCTTGTAGGGATCGAGGCCTACTTGGATTGCTATCCATTGAAGAAATGCGTCAACAGGTTTTCTGCTCAACTTGAATTTTGTTTTCTTGTCTCATTTTCTCATTAGGTAACAAACGCCTCATATTGCAATTATGTATATAAGATTATCCTTTTAAAGATGACTTGAATCATTTTCTCAGTGTTAACTATTTGAAGTTTAGGTATGGGTACAATGATATTTGTATTGCTTATGTAGCATTAAAAATCTTCAAGGCATTTTGGCATATATTAACTTTGCAGTGCCTTGGTTCTGCGAACAACTGGCCTGTAATTGTGGGCTGAAGTTGCAGATTTTTTTGATGGATGTGCAAGGGGGGTGGAGAGGGGGTTGAAGAGGTTTTGAGAATTTGGGTGGAGTTGGCTGCGAAGGTGGTGGTGAGCATCAAGAAGGACAAGACAGAGGGAGGGGGTGCCATGCAGAAGGGAGTGATGGTGTACAGATGTAGTTAATTACACTTACAAGATAGTAGTTAAAATGGATATGTCTGCTTCTTTACAAAGCTGTGATGGTCATTTGGTTACCAAAGTGGTAGTTGGGAAAGTGGGTGTTGACCTGGGCCGTAGGAGGAAGGAGTCTGATGAAGTTGAGACTGTTGTTGATTTGGTGGTTCTGAAGAAGTCCAGAGTCTCAAGAAAAACCCACATCGTGCATGTTACCAAGGTTTTTTGCAGTTGAAAGGACTTGTTGGGGCAGGTCTGACCAACAAATACCAAAAAGTTGTACAAAAGAAAGGGGGTAAAATTCAGACCTCCAAATCACAAAGACCATGCTGGGGAAGAGTCAAGAATAGCAAGATGATCAAAAGAAGAACCTTTAGATGTCTCTTCACCAGTGGAGGGGGGGGGAGTTGGGAAAAAAGTGGAGTTACATAAGAGAAGGAAAGGGAGAACGGAAGTGAAGCCAAGGAGGTTTCTGTCAAGATATTGCTGGAAGGAGAGGAGGTGAAGCAAGGAAGTGTGGATTTAAAGAAAATTGTTGACAGGTAGGTGGAGGTTGGCAAGTCTTTGGGTTTGTTTTTCTGGGGAGGAGCCGAGGAGAGACTTTTGCTAGAAGATCTTTTGGAAATTTGAAAGAAAGAAGAGAGACTAAGAAAACCATGATAGGGGGAGGGGCAGAAATATGGAAAGAGGAAGGAGGGCAGGAAAAAGTTTTTGATGGGGATGACTGAATGTTGTCGAGATGGCATTTAGTGCTTGTAAGAAGAGAATCTCATTTGGTTTGTTTTGTAGTTTGCTTTTAGTTTGGCTGAAAGAGTTGCATTTAGCTTGTTTATGAAGTGTTGTCTTAGCATTTATTCAGTGCTTCTAAACAGTTTCCTTTTTATAAAAATTTTCTTTTACCATAAAAATAATATCAATCTGTTATGGATCTAGGGGACAAGAACCCATCAGTGAACAGTGCCCATCTCAGGGTTGTGGTGCACAAAAAATTAGCATGATCAAATGACATTGCCATCTGATTTATGTATTATCTGTTTGATCTTTAATAGTTGTCAACTTGTCATAATGTTCTTTCCTGCTATCCAAATGCAAGAAATAGAAAGGGCGGCTATCTCATTTCAAGTTCACATTTGATGCTTGATGCACCTTATCTTCATGATGGAACTATTTTTTAATGGTGGTTTCTGGTTCTCTGAATAAAGCACAAGTGACAAGTTATGGGACTCAGACTGGTTAAAGGGTCTTGTGTTGCCAGACTGAAGTTTTTGCCTTTAGTTTGGGGGATTTATGCTTCTTTTTTTGGTTTTACTAGAAATAATTTTTAACATATATAGCTTCTCAAGGCTACTGCCAGTGGAGTAATGGTCTTATAAGATTGAAAAGTCACAATTGCTGATAAAAAAAGATTGAAAAGTCACAGTTTGAGAAACTGACAAAAAAGAAAAATAAAATCGTATACCAGGGCAGATGGGTACATAAAGTGCAATCAGAGCTATTCAGGTTTAACCCAAGGGTGGGTGGAGTTTAAAAGCTGTGAGACAGGGTAGGTGAAAAGCTGAGATCTTGGTTCGATCATGTGCCAGGCGGTCATAGGTTTGTGACTCAAAAAGATAGCTGTGGACAGGGAAATACCTGTAAGCTGAGATCTTGGTCGGATCATGTGTAAGGATTGAATTGGTTGAAGTACTTGTAAGCAAGGTTCAAAGCATCAATACAATATACCCTGTATCTGGTGCATCATTCCATATCATGGTATTTAAGGGAGATGATTTGGTTGCGGAGTAGGTATTTGAGAATAATGCAGTGTTCGAGTTTGAAAGGATTAATGATCTTAATGGAAAAAAGGAAGAACAGTGAAGGTTATCCCAATGCGGTTAAAAGATTTAGACAACAAAAGTTCAGTAGATCCGTGCTCTTGAAGGTGTTTGATAGATTGAAAGGGGGTTCACTTGGGATTGGAATCAACAAGAGGGTTAAGAAGAATAGAAGGCTAGTCAAGAAAAAGAAAGAGAAAGTTTAGTTCAATTTCAGAAGGGTGGGGTAAGCCTGGTTTGCTTTGTAAAGGGTTCCTAGGCAGGGTTTAGTCAGATTGCTGTATTGGGTAGTGTAGTGTTAGTGGGGGTGGGTTAAGGGTCCTGTTTTTCTTGTTGAGTTTTCGGGTTTTGTTTTAGTTTCGAAGTTGCTTGGGTATCTCAAGTTGTTGTTTTTTTTTTTAGTTTTTTGGTGATTTCTTGTCACCTGTTTGTACTCTTCTTTAGTGCTATTTCTATGTTAATAAATTTTCTTCTTTATTTATCTTAGAAAAAAAAGGTGTCCCCAAGACGCTAAATACTTGAGCCTAGTTCATTTAAAAAGAGACCATTTACCCGGGTAAGTGTTTCCCAAGAAACATTTACCCGGGTAAGTGTATTTACCCATGTTCTTTTTTGTTAAATTTACCCGGGTAAATGAGACCTTTCAACTTTCCCATGTTCTTTTGCCTCACCCACTTTCCCAGGTAAGTGGTTAATTTTTCCATGTTTTGTCATTTTTACCCTTGGGTCCAGGTCCATGCTTTTTGAATTATATTTTTTTAATGGGCATTTTTGACATTATATTTTGAGCATTTACTCTCCACTTGGAAAAGTTAACTTTCCCAAGTAGGAGAAGGGTAACACTTTCCTAGGTAAGTGATACCCAAGGGAAAGGCATTTACTGTGGGTCCCACCTAAATCTTGAAAAAGAACGTGGGAGAGTTGGTCAATGGGAATCAAAATCCCATTGACCAACTTCCCCCTCCAAAATCCGCGAAACGAACGAGAGTTTGGATTTGTAACCTATTTTAAATTAATACCTTTCCTAACAATGCCCTGACCAAATTTTCAATACTTAACTATTTGTTTTTGTGTATTCTATCCATTTGAAATGCCCGATACACAATTTTTGCATATCGAACATATTGATACTTCGAACTTTGCCTACAATTAAGCTGGAAGTGGTACATTAAAAAAAGATCAAAGAACCAAGAAAACCAGGCTCCTCGAGCTGCCAATTGGTCTATGAAAACAAAGATGTGGTTAGGAATGAGGGACCCAAGTGGGGCATTTGGTGTCGTTTGATAGGGATTCTGCTAGGGTTGAGGGAGACAGGGGAGAAAAGGAGGTTGGGGTAGAGAAAGGAGAGGAAGAGGGAGCAAGGGGGGATGAAGGTTCCCAAACGAGGTTGGGAATAGGGGTGCAAATGGATCGGATCATGATCCAATCCTATTTGGTCGAATTTGGATCACCCCTGTTTGGATCTTCAGATCGGATCGGATAATAGGATTCAATCAGAAATTGGATCAGATTCGGATCACCCTATCCAATATGAGAAGATCCGATCCGATATATATTTTATATTTATAAATATAAATATATATAATACATATATATGTTATTTATTTATTTATAAATATGTTTTTTATATTATATTTTTATAAATTTGTTATATTATTTATTTATTTATAAAAAACATGTATATATGATGAAAATAATTAAAAATTACTTATATTTTTTGTCTTTACTTATTTAAATTAGTATATTTTAATTTTCTTTTAATAATTTATTAATTTTTAAAGAAAACAAGTCGGATTGGGTCAGATCTGAAGATCCGACTTACCGATAGGATTCGAATTCAAATCGAGTCCTATCAGATCGGACCAGATCCAGCATGAACAATGTTGGATCGGATTTGAATATACCCTGATTCGAATCCGATTCAATCCGTTTGCATCCCTAGTTGGGAAGCCAAGAGTCAGCCTAAAGAAGCGAGCAAAAGAGACGAGAATGGTGGGTTAAAGTTCAAGAAGAGCGCTTACGCTTTGAAGTCTCAGTTGGAATACTTGGTATCGACTTAGGCCGAAGAAGGAATATTGAGATCAAGGAAAGGGATGCTTTAGAGTCTTTGAAGAAAGTAAGAGAACCAAGCAATTTCCATCTTAACCATATGTCAAAAGTTTTCTCAATGTTTGAAAGATGGTTTGGTTGGTGCTGGTCCTACCAACAAATTTGAGAGTTTATAAGAAAACAGGCTCAAAAGATAAAGCTTTGAAGATGAAAGTTGCTGAGATCAGGGGAGCCAAGTGCCAAGATTCACAAGGGGTTCAGTTGCAATAGATGCCGACTATTGAAGAAGGTTTGGAGTCGAGGCTAGAGGTTGAGGATAAGGAGGAAAGGGGTAATGAAGATAGTGAAAAGGGCTTAATTGCAACTTCATCAGTCAGCGCGGGTGAGAAAGCGGGGGGGGGTGGAGATTAATTGTTTGGTTGGTAAGGATGTTAGGGTGGGCAAGGGCTTAGGTCTGTTTTATTGGGGTGGACAGGAGTTTGCCAGAAAGGCTTTCGAAGCTTTTGAAAAAAACAAGAGGGAAGAAAGCTCGAAGAAGCTTGCAGTTGGGGAAGGAGGAGAGGTGTGGGATAAGGAAGGAGTTGAAGGAGATGGACAAGATGAAATTCTCGAAGAAGAATTTTAAACTTGCTTAAGCTGGTCAAAAAAGAGGGGAAGAATACTGTGGAGATGCATAAGGGCAGTGATGTGTTGGGCAATTTGGGAGGAGAGGAATCAAAGGATTTTCCATGAAAAATGAAGAAGTATAGAAGCTGTCATTGAAGCTATCACCATCATTGGGAAAGTCTTTGGATATTTTCAGAGATGTTCCTGGCATTGAGGTGATGAGGAAGTGGAGGGGCGTGGCTGATTCTACTCCAGCTAAGGAGGTGGTCAGGTGTCACGCCATTGTGGTTCCCACCCTTTAGTGGTTTCATTAAACTTAACTTTGATGGCAGCAGTGAAAGTAATCCAGGTCCCTATGGCATTGGAGGAGTTTTCAGGAATGAAGAAGGAAATATCGTTGCACTCTTCTCAGGCCCAATTGGTGAAGGGGATTTCTTAAGAGCTGGAATTATGGCTGTTATGGTAGGGATCCAAAAGGCTAAAGAGCTGAATATCAAGAAGTTGGTGATAGAAGGTAATTCAAAGCTTGTAATTAGTTGGCTTCAAAAAAAGGAGGAAGAGGGGTGGTGGTACTACATTCATGAAAAGAGAAAAGCTGTTAATTGCTGCAAGGAGTAGAGGTGTCTTGTAATTGGGTTAAAAGAGATGCAAATTCTGTTGCTGATACGCTTGCTAAACAAGGGGTGAGAAGGAATGAGTTAATTTGGGCTGTTCCGTAATCTTCCTTTTGGGGAGGGCTAAGAGAGTTTATCCCTCTCCCTTCTTTGTACTAAATTTCTTCTTTTTAATTAAATTGGTTCTGTTATTGATCAAAAAAAAAAAAAAAAGCTTGCTCTGTCTCAAGGTGTCTTTCAGCTGCTTTCCTCTGTTTTGTGATCTTAAATTTTTGTTTTTTGCTGTTGAAGGGTGGGTGTTATCTTAACACCTTGTTCGTTGTTTGGATCCAGTCATTTGTCATTTTTCTTTCAATAAAATCTTTCTTTTTACCTTTCAAACAAATGATGGAGGGTGCTATCTTAGATGTACATGTACCTGGGTGGGCTTCTTGGGTGGGAGGGGGTTTAGAAGGTGAGATGTTGTTAACATCTTCTGAATGGCTGGTGCCACAGGGTGGCATTGGATACAGGCCAGATTAGGAAGTGGACCCAAAGATCTATTTTGGTGCTCAAACGGAGAGCTGATGTCATTGGATATAGGCCAGCTATGTTATGTTTAAGCAATCAAGCTTCTGTTACTGACCCCCCCCCCCCCACACACACACACACAAAAAAAAAAGGAAAGAAAGGAAAAGAAAAAGAGCAGAAAAGCAAAGAGATCTTAAAATGCTTCTTTGTTTTACATTTCAAATATTTTTTTTCTCAGTTGAAAATTGGTTTATAAGGAGATGATTCGAGTAAGAGTTTTAAGGTGTACAAGGGGGGAGGGGTTTGAAGGAGGCTCCCATCCCTCTTGTAGTAAGCAACAAACAGCAACATCAAGGAAAAAGTACCCTACAATTCAAAAGATAGTTTGCTACTGGCATTTGTAGAAGGTGTCTCTGATGCTGTGAATCAGGGGAGTGTTATTGATGTTTTGAGGATGGACGTTTCAATTTAAGATTCCTGTAAACATTCCTGCAGTGATAATTCATTAGGAGAGGAGAAAAAGGATGTGGAGAGGAGGTTGGATAGGTAATTGAAATTGGCAAGAGTAGAAGCTTGGTTTTAGTGTGTCAGCAGTGACAAATTGCCAAGAAAAACTGATTAAATAAGGTGGTGAACAAGTGCAGGTTGCTAAGGACTTGGGTATTTTTGTGTTGGTTGGACTGGAATTTTCCAGAAGGGTGCTTATGGACTTAGAAGTGAGAGACTGAATCACAAAGCCAGATTCCAACAGTTAGGATTTCACCTCCTAGCTTGATCGTTGTGATTTGGACAAGGCAGATGAGTAAAGAAGTTGGAACCCTATAGAATGATTCGTTTTAGCTTGGAATGTTGAATCTATAAATTTTGGTTATTGCTAGTGATTTTCAGTTTCTTCTGGTTTGGTTATTGTCTGGAGTGTTTTACTGGTTCCTTTTTCTGATTTTGGTTTGGTCTTTTTTTTCTGTTCTCTCTGGTTTTTTGTTCAATTATAGGTGCATTTATGCTGGACCAAAGTTTCAGATCATTGCTTGTAGACAGGGTTGTTGTTTGCGTTAATGTTTGGGTTTCAATTGTAGTCTTCCATCTTGTTAGGAGTTTGAGGCCTGTAATAATTTCTGCATAAATAAATCAACTGTCAAAAGGAAGAAATTGAGATACTTCATTGCGTGAAATATACAATTTTCAATTTCTTTGTTTAAGAAAAAAGAAAAAGAGTGAAGTTTGGTGTTTGTCATTTGTTATTTTAATAATAATTTCTTGTTGCAGCTCCGTGATTGGTTGGATTTGTCTCTGAACCACTCTGTGCCATCTTCTCTTTTGATCCTTTCCAGGTAAAGAAACTTGTTAATTCATACCTTCAAAATTTTGGTCAATGTATAACTTTTCTCATTCTGGTCTGTAATATCTGCAGAGCCTTCACTGTCTCTGGAAAGATAAGGCCAGAGGAGGCTGTTCAAGCGACACTTTCCTCTTTGCCAGACGAGGTTGTGGATACTGTTGGTGTCACTGCTTTGCCATCTGAGGATTCTGTTTCTGAGAGGAGGAGGAAATTGGAGTTCCTAGAAATGCAAGAAGAACTTATAAAGGTTAATAGCATTTATGCTCTCATATCATATTGGGGAATTATGGATTTTTCTTGATCTTGTGATCCCAAATTCCTGATTGAACCATTGAACCCTTAAGTATATTATGCTAGCCATTTCTTTCTTCTGTCAACTTCTGACCTTGATTAATAGGATCAGGGATCAAAATTTCGTCACGTATTGGCCTATACGTATTGTATTGGAGCCTTCCCAATACGCCCCTACAGGGGGTGTTTTGGGTAAGTGAACGGTTCAGGGGGTAGACCAGCCCCTCTGAACCAGATCCGAAAAAAAAAACAGTACCGGTATGCCCTGCCAGTGTATCGCCCTGTACCGATATTTTGAATCTTGAATATTTTCAAAGGTCAGCTGCAAAAACATCAATGCAGCTAACCAAATAGTACAAAACAAACTCAAGAGCAGAACCCAAATACACAAAGGAGAGAAAAGAAAAAGAGCTATTACAGATTACAGCCTGGTCCAGGACAACCCCATTAAAGAGAAACTCTTCCCACCCCAGCTCTTGCTAAAGAATTTGCTACTGTATTAGCACTCCTAGGAACCTAGTTGAATGAGTTCAAATTGGAACAAAGAGAATGGGCCATTCTCACCATAGGTCTGAACTGCCAAGGACATACACGTGAGGGAAATTCACCAGTTTTCCAACTTCCTTTGGAGTATTTCACAAATATTTATGATTTGCTTGGTTGCCTCCCAACAAAAAATCTTCACTTTAGGTGGAGCTGGGCTACACCACAGCTCTTTGAAGAAGGAAGCACAAGAAAAATTGCTATTAGCATTTGCTCTAAGCAAGGGGTTTCTTGGGCATCTTTGTATTGGTCTAATTTTTAATTTCATAGTGCTTGGGTCTGTGCGCATACCTTTGGGGAGGTAGCATCTCGTGCCTCCTCCAAGGCTGTTTGTACTTACCCCTTTTTATCTCTTTAATAAAATTGCCTAATCATTCATAAAAAAGGCTATAGATGTTATTCTCTTATTTTTGGGGTCAAGTGGCACTTCTTTAATTACAGTAAATATATAAATTGTTTTTTTCTTTCGTCTTGTTATTGCCTTATTGGAATTAAAAATTAATGAAAGCTTAAATTTTGATTTCTCTTGCATGCTTGTTTTATGAGGTGGTTCCATTGAAACCCTAGGGTGATTCTATGTCCCCTAGGGGTGATTCCTTGGTTTTCTACTACAGATGATCCGAAAAAAACCCTTGGTTTTCTTCTCTTCTTTCTCTATTACCTTCTTAAAGCTTTTATAACAATAATTACATCCATCTAATATCCAGTCAAAACTCAAGTTAGTGACTGTTACAGGATCTGCTTATGTTAGAAATTTGAAAATTTTCTTTTATTTTTGCCACTTTCTATAAAATCCTAGCTGTTCCAGATTCACAATCTAATTAAACCCCTATGTATAGGTATAACTCCATAATCCTACAAAGTTTCAGCTAAAATTCCATCCAGAACTCAAGTTGTTGATGTTTTTCAATCGCTCTTGAGAAAGCAAAACGTATAAGATCTCAAACAAATTAGACATAATCAGTTCATCCTAAACACTCAAAACCCTTTTTGGAACCCTGCACCATCCATAATCTCCAACTAAATTCCTTCAATTTTCAAAAAGTCAAAAAAGTTATCCAACTGAATTTTCTCCTTAAATCTCACTTAAGAGCCTCTTACCCTAATAAGTCTTACATTACTGTTAATGAGTATTTTGATACGGATTATCTTCTTAGCAGTTAAAATCATAACCAAGCCCCTTTATCTTTCCTCCATTATTTAATCTCTTATGGATGGGATTACCTATTTTTGTCAGCTTTTAATGCCATTTAGAAGCCATGTTTGGTTATGTTTTCTGTGGTAGGTTTGGAGTTGGTTCAAAGGGGTTTAAAGCCAACTCATGGGAAAGGTTCATACCCACTAGATAAAATAATTGAAGAGAGACAATAAAAATAATAAAAAATAGAAATGGGCAATTGTATCCCTATGCATATGTCAAACCAGGACCTTTAACTAACAAATTTCTGATGTCATAATTATCTTTTAAAATTTTGTATTGTTAAGATACATTGATATGGCTACACTCTACAGATGCAAGTGTGTGGTAATTTACTATCAGTTTCCTTTATACCTGACATCATTAGTTTTTGAACTTGGCTGAATTATAACCTAATAATTCTAATTCATAAAAAAACTTTATAATTCTATCATCAATTTTTAAATCGTTTAATTTGGTTAAAGAATGCTACTGAGAAATCTAGTCAAGGTGTGTGTAAAAGGTATTTATAAATCTCGCTCTTCAGAGTTTAAGGGAACTTCTTTGAATGGGTGGACTCTTATCTGGTATTCTTTAGAAGTAGCTAATAAATATTTTAAGATAATTCTTTATTCTTTGAATATGTTAATCCCTCAAATTTCCACTACATATGGCACTGTTTTTTTCATGCTTCAATTCAAAAGTTTTTATTTTCTTTTTGTTTATCTTATAGGTACTTCTGCAAAAAGTTATTTTATTTTCAGATATACTTGCATTAGTTCCTAGTTTCATAGTTTTGTAATGTTTGGTTGGTTGGTACACTAAATGGTAATTTCTAAATTAATCAATTATAGGAGGAAGAAGAGAAAGAGGAAGAAGAGCAAGCTAGGAAGAAGGAATATGTAATTAGTCAGGAAGATATTGCTTTGAAAGAGATGACTGTTCCAACAGCACAGGAAGCACGAGAACAAGCTAGAGATCGAGCATTGGAGAAGCAAGGGCAGCTCTGTGAGCTTAGCCGTGCATTGGCTGTACTAGCTTCTGCATCTGTAAGAATTTATTTTCAAGAGCTTTTATCTGTTTTGAAGATTTTTGTTACATTTTCATTTTCTGAGGTTCTGCATAGTTAATATTTACATCATTTCTTTTATTATCTGTGCAGTCAGTTAGCAGGGAGCGTGAAGAATTTTTGAGGATGGTCAATAAGGAGGTGTGCAAAACCACGTGGTTATAATAATTGTTGTTTGCAGCATACAAATTGTCAAAGATGATCTATGTGTATTTTGTCAAAAGATGTATTATGTGTATTTTGGAGATAAGGGATTTCAAAAGATGATTTATATGGTTTTAGGTTCATGTGTATTTTGTTATTGTTTTCATATTTTTTTCTTTATTATCTTATTTCTTTCCCCATACTTTATTTGCAATTATGAGTTAGAGATAGTTTTTTTTTTTTTTTTTTTTTATAAGTAAAAAATAAAATTTCTTAAAAAGTAAAAAAAAGGATACAAACTAGGAGGGTGATAAGATATCACCAACCACAGCAACAAAATAACAAACTACCTATCTTGTTAGAGATAGTAGCAACTAAAAGCTGTTCATTGGGAACCCTTTTACCTTCTCTCTACACTGGAGCACATATTTAGTTGTCCCAGCTTGGGTAACTTTCTACACCAACTAATATCTGTTCATCTGAATTTCACTTTTTTTTTTTTGGCTTGTCAGCATAATGTAGCATGTCCTAAAAACTGATTATTAGATGGCTATGTTCATATGTTTCTGTTTGTTTTAGTAGGTTTTGTATTTTATTTAATAATTAATCCAAGATTTAGTAAGAAAACATGATATGGAACAAAATCATTCCTGTAGTTGTCAAGGTGATGCCTAGGTGACAAGGCACCCTTGGAGGATCACCTTGCTTCTTTTCCTAGGACAAAAATAGGGGCTCAGCCCCTCTATTTTTTTTTTTTTTTTTCTTTCTTCTTTTCTACTCATGAATATGTTGGTTTTCTATATTTTAATATGAAGTTTATATTTTTTTATGAACACTATAGATAATTACTAGTGAAAGATTGTTGCTGGTAACTATGGAACCTAGGAAATTACCCTAGTATTCATGGTTTCTATTTAAATTCATCACTTGGGTGATTAGGCAACAAGGCATGCTACAACCCCCTGTTACCTAGCCTTGCATTGGCACAACAAAAGTAGAAAAAGAGCCAGTCCCTAGCTACTCCCTCCCAATTGTCAAGCATAAACCCATGCCCAGCACACCACTAGTCCATAGGGTTTGATCCCCAAATACAATTTTTTATCTGTTCGTTATGAATACTCGTGTACTAGCAGATCTTAAGACCCAAGTGGATTAGGCATTCATACTTTGAGCCAAGGTTGTAGCTTCCCTAGTGTAATGTCAGATCTGCCAAATACTTGTCACAACACTATTCATCCATCCAATAATTACTTGTGAAGCTCTCTCTCCATCTCTAAATTCAGGCAACCTGACGAGAATATCAACCTTAACCCGTGAGTGGAAATTAGAATCTCAACCTGAATGGAATCTCCTTTCCCTGCAGGACAAGTACAGAGCATCAAAATATGACCTTGATGGTGTCCTTGTGGGAGGGTGCCTTATCAGTCACCAAGACTCTAACCTTTTCTTGTATCATACATACAAAAACAGCCTACTGGCATAGTATTGTTTTCTGCTGTTTTATCTATATTTGGTGGTGTCTAAATAAAGTTGGGGGCTTTTCCATTCAGTCTCTGATAACCCAAGTTGCTTCTTTTCAGAAGTACGTTCTCAGTTTACTTAGACACCATATATTTCTCTTATTTTCTAATAAGGTGATTGTAGATATTTGATTATGTTACACTGAATTAACAATGTATGACATATCTAATGCATTTACTGTTCTAGTAATATCCTTTTTTCCATTCTGAAATATTAATTACCCGTTTGTATTTTCTAAGAACTTCTATTTTGTTAATGCCATGATGTCCCTTGCAGATAGAACTATATAATAGCATGGTGGAGAAAGAGGGCACAGATGGAGAAGAAGAGGCTAAAAGGGCATACCAAGCTGCCAGGGAGGATAGTGACCATGCTGCTGAAAGGGCTGCTGGTGACAAGATTTCTTCAGCTCTTATAGACAGGGTAAGAAATTGTCTGAACTTATTTGCATTCTCCACTTTTATTTCTACATGCACATTAGCGATTTACCTCGTGCGTTATGATATTCCTTTTATGTACCATTTACCTTGTCTTGAACTTCAGGTTGATGCCATGCTTCAAAAGCTTGAGAAGGAAATTGATGATGTTGATGCTAAAATTGGTGACCGTTGGCGACTACTTGACAGGTTAGTGCTCTTGGGGCATTTCCATATACTTTTTGATTTTTTATTCCTGTACTGAGGGCCATTTCTATTGGTAGAGACTGAATTCTTTTTTTTTTTTTTTTTGAGAAATGTAAAGACTGAATTATTATATCTAAGAACGATGATATTGCTATCTTGCAAATAACTAAAACTCGGTTTCTTTTTTTCTTTTTATAATGTTCAGCTAGAATATGATGACTTTCCACTTTCAGCAAGGAGTTAGTATTAGTTGTCAGATAGGTTACTGGTCATTAATCTGGACTTTCAATTTGGAGCCACAACCAGGTGACAATGATACCACGGACAACCCCCTCCCCCAGGAAAAAAAGGAAACAAAATATCTTCATGAGCCAATTCATAGATCTTATCTTCTTTTGCCAATGAAAGTGTATAACACTTGACTATGATCTGACTGGAAACCGAGATTATTGATAAGTTCACATTGTGGAGTGGTGAAGATGGACACAGCAACATGGAGAAAGTGGTGAATATTGAAGCAAAGCACTTGCTGTTTGAAGAGTTGAGATTGAAGGGAAGATGGCCCTAAGGATTATGGACGCAAAGATGGCAATTGTGCTTTTGGACGAGGCAAGTCTTTTTCAGAGGATAGAAAATTTTAAAAAGTATGAAGAATATGAAGATGGAAGAAAGTGGTGAATATTGAAGCAAAGCACTTGCTGTTTGAAGAGTTGAGATTGAAGGGAAGATGGCCCTAAGGATTATGGACGCAAAGATGGCAATTGTGCTTTTGGATGAGGCAAGTCTTTTTCAGAGGATAGAAAATTTTAAAAAGTATGAAGAATATGAAGATGGAAGAAAGAAAAAGGATGTTGTAGAAAACAATTAGTCTGCTTCCCTGAAGGGAGTAAGCTCCATCGTTTTACAAGACTTCATTGTACACTTGGTTAAAGTAATTCAAAAGCCCAAAAAGGTTGAGAAGAAAATAGATTTGCATTTTAAAAGAAGAGGCCCCTGTATCAGATTTACTGACAGCATAAAATGTAAATAGTAAATGCAAGAAGGCGATTAATGCTGGGAAGGAGGAACAGTTGACAAATTGGTGATTGAAGCCAAGGAAGTGGTAAATGATTGGAGGAAAGTAGCCAACATTTTAATAAAGGGTTTGAAAAGCTGAAGGGCACAGTGATACTCATTCCATTTGAGAAACATAAGTCACTATTTGAGCTGATGGACGATAAAGTAAAAGTTGCAGCGGTGAACTTTCAGTTTGAGGTTGAGGTTTTTACAGTTTCCAGGTAGTGTCCTTTATCTAACTCAAAACATTTTATCTTAGAAGATGGTGTGGTGGTGTGAGGTATGGTCTGTCATTTCATCTTTGGAAGCAGGATTCTTTTTTTACTCAATTGCTTTGGTTTGCAATGGACAACTAGATGGTGTTTTCAGGGTAGACCTGCACTCTACTGCCTTATTTCCGAATGCAATAAAGCCAGATGACATTCCAAGAAAGGTTGAGATCCTGGCAAATGGTATCTCTTATTCTGTGTGGATGGTGACCTCCATCGAAGCTGAGCTATGGGGGAAGCATGCGGAGAGGAAGATGAAAAAGTGGAGAGATGCTACATGCAGGTTGCAAGCAGCCAGTTCAAACGATTGCAACCTTTTCCTAAAAATTTGTAATCAAAACCTGGGAAGAGCAAAAGACATGGAGCTAGTAGAAGTGATGTGCTTAGAATGAGAATATAGGTTGGTGTGTGGCAGTTCCTTTCTCCAGGTGTTGACTAATGGTATTGCAGTTTCTTTGAATGCTGGCAATACAAGGTCAATAGGTTGGAAGCTGAAAATTCAAGATGAAGAAACAATTCTAAAAGAGGGAGAGGCTAAAAACTTATAGACTTGGTGATGCAGAGATGTGTGCGATCTTTCAACTAGTCAAGTGAGGGGAAATAAGGGTGTTATGGGCAGGAAGGGCCAACCTCATGGGGTGGATTTTAGCCTAGAGAAAGTGAGCCAAATGAGTTCAGCTTTAAAGCTCCACGTGAGGGGAGGTTATTTGGTGAGCTAATAGACCTAGGAGATCCAGCTCGAATTTTGGTGAAGGGGAAGAAGAGCCTGGGGTTTAGGCAAAATAAATTGTTGAAGGGGTTGAGGTTTAAGGCTTCGAAAGGAAGAGAAGGCTCCATTATCAAGAAGCATCGATTGAGAGAAAGCATGAGGGAGAATGGTAAGTGGGCGTGGGTGGTTACTATGTTCTTATAGGAAAATACCACAAATAATCTGAAGGCATGGTTGAACCGTTGAAGACAAGATTTTTCTAGAGGACAGTGTTGGAATCTCAAGAAGGGAAATGGTTCAATCAATAACTCCTTTCCTATTGTAGGGGTGGAGGATAATGGATTGATATAAAGGATTGAGGTAGCTGGTATAGTGAAAGAGGCTCCACTAGTAGGTTGGGGCCTAGATTGTGAGAGGCTAAAGGATTATTGAGTAATTATTCCATTGATGGAGGTTTGTTGGAAACGGTGTTTTAAAAGGCATGGGAGGCGTATGCCTGGAGGCTCTCCAAGCGAGATGCCAACAAAACACTCCAAGGTGTATGAGGGAAGGGTTTGGTTTTTGGGTGCCGGGTGCAACTGTGCAAGTTTGAACTGGTGGGTGGTTGTGAGAGGCATGTGGAGAGGGTTTTTATGTATTGAAAAGGTTAGGCAGGGTCTCAAATTTGTACTTGAAAAGTTGATTGGAGGGTGGTAAGCTTTTCTTCTTTGGGAGTTTGGGGTGATAACTTATCACCTCAAATTGTAATCTTTTCTTTTCCATGAATAAACTTTCTTGTTTTATTTATTACAAAAACAAAGTGTTGCACACTTGATAATCTTGTCAATGCATTTGAGTTTGTATTTATAAACTGAGTTATTATATATAACTGTTACAGCAGATTAAACGGTAATCTTAAAAGGATAAGAGAATATTATAACATTGATCAGATGCTCTTAAGATCGGGAAATGCTTGGTTGTTTAACAGTTTGAGTAAAGGATAATTTTAACCAATCATCTTTTAGTCAAAAAACAAACAGAGGATTGAGTGAGATAACATGTCATGTGGAAAAACTCCCAAACAGCCCAGTCTGTTTTGTCCAAACAACAAGGTCTTTCTCCTTAAGATCTGGATTAGTTGAGACTTAAGACTGATTAGAGCCATTAGATGGAGAGTTATCTCCAACAGACCCCATGAAGCTGAACAGCCTGGATTAGTTAAGATATCATCCATCATCCATGCCTTATCCCATCTATATGGGGTTGGCTACATTAATCTTGTTTTGCCAATCCGTTCTATCAACGCCATATCCACTAGTAAATTATTAGTGCTTAAATCACTTTTTACTACTTTCTACCCTTGTTCTTTTTGGTCTTCCCCGAGCTCTTTTAGCCTCTTCAATGTGTAACAAATCACTTCTTCTAACTGGCGCAGTTGGCGGTCTTCTATGCACGTGCCTAAACCATCTTAATCTACTTTCTCATTTTATCATCTATTGGAGCTACTCCTAGGTTCCTACGGGTAACTTCATTCTTGGTCATATCCTTTCTAGTTTTCCCACTCATCCATCTTAGCATCCGCATTTCTATCACATTCATTTTCTGGACATGTTGTCTCTTGATTGCCTAACACTTTGCTCCATACAACACAGCTGGCCTCAAAACTGTTTTATAAAATTTTCCTTTAAATTTACATGGTGTTCATCTACCACATAAAAGTTCAAATGCACCCTTCCATTTTTCCCATCCTGCTCTAATTCTTTGGGTGACGTTCTCCTCAATCTCTTCCTTGTTATGAATTATTAAACGAAGGTATCGGAAATTGTCACATTGAGTTATCTCTTGGTCTCCAGTCCTACTTGTATCTTGATTCACACTCCTATTATTACTAAATTTACATGTTATATACTTTGTTTTAGTCCCACTTATTTTAAAGCCTCTTCTTTCTAAGACATTTTGTCCATAAGCTTAATTTTGCATTTAATCCTTCATTAGTTTCATCGATTAAAACAATGCCATCCGTAAAAGCATGCACCATGGAACTTCCTCATGAATATTTTTAGTCAATTCATCTATGATTAATGCAAATAGATAAGGACAATGTGCTGAACCTTGGTGAAGACCCATAGTGATTGTAAAATCCGAAGTCTCTCCCACTAGTGTTCTAGCATTAGTTGTTGCCCCCTCGTACATATCCTTAATTAGGTTTTTGTACCTATTTTGAATCCCTTTCTTTTTAAAGACCCACCATATTATCTTTGTAGGAACCCTTTCGTATGCCTTTTCTAGATCAATGAACACCATATGAAGGTCTTTCTTCTTCTTCTTGAACTTTTTTATCAATCATCTCAAAAGAAATATAGCTTCCATGATTGATCTCCCTAGCATAAAGCCAAATTGGTTCTTTGATCACTTGTTTGAAGTCTTAATGTTTGTTCAAGTGTTCTCTCCCAAAGCTTCATAGTGTGGTTCATAAGTTTAATCCCTCGATAGTTATTACAACCTTGTATATCACTTTTGTTCTTAAATATGGACACCATACTGTTGTTTCTCTAATCATCATGCATCATTCTTTTCTTTCGCTATCTTATTAGACACCATACTGTTGTTTCTCTAATCATCATGCATCATTCTTTTCTTTCGCTATCTTATTAGACACCATACTTTTGGAATTCCATTAGGTCCTAACGTCTTTCCCTTAATCTTATTTTCCTCTTTCCTTTAGTAAGTTTAACTCTACGAAGGTATGCATTATTTTTAACACTACTAGTTTGCTAGATTCTCCTCCATTAACACCTTCTCCCTATTGTTTATTTAATAATTTCCAAAATATTTTTTCCATCTTTGTTTGATTTCCTCATCTTTTAAACCTCAAATACATAGTCTATCAATGAAATCCAAAATATCGCTAACATATCGGCAAAACATCAGAGATATTAGGAAAAAATATTCTTGACAATTTTAATATCATCACCACTTAGAAAAATGCG